GTATTTTAGCTTGGCAAACAAGGTTGAGAAGACGTTGACAATACCCTCTTTGATGTCATTTAGAGAGACTAAAATATGCCATTTTGCTCAATCTTACTAATATGGTTGCGACATTCCTCAAGCTTGCTGAAAGGTGTAAGAAACAAGTGTTTTTATCCCCTATTTTGCACCAATTTTCACAGGATTTCTGCCTCTAAATATCCTCAACCTTCTTGTTATTCTTTTAAAGCTTAGAGTTTAGATTTTGAGCCTTGTTTTTTTAGTCTTAAATAGAAGGCGCACCTCACTTAAATCTTCAATGGTTATGATGCAGTTCTGAACGTCTGTAAGTTTTGAGTTTTGAATGCAGTTCTGAATGTCTGTAAGTTTTGAGTTTTGAGATGCAGTTCTGAACGTCTGTAAGTTTTGAGTTTTGATTACCAAAAGTGGATTTGTTCCACTATCTCAACCTTTTCGCTAGAGTTCCTAGTTTCTTTACTAATCTATAGTCACCTGAAAATTCCTTATAGCTATTAGACCAGAAGACCTCAAAATCAGTAGAGAAGAAAGGGTGTAACAACTGTCGTATGTGTGCGACATCACAACGATCGTCCAACATCCAGGAAAAAATTAAAATGGTGTATCTCTGGAAAATATGGAGAGAAAACGAATCCATGTGTCTCTCAACAGAAAAAAATTTGAATGAGAGTCGTCACCTAATATTTTGGTCACCAGAAACCCCAATTGGTCTAAGAGATCGGGTAAGAAGACTGATTGCGTAAATGGAAGGTATTAGCAAATTGGTCTAAGAGATCGGGTACGAAGACTGGTTGCATAAATGGAAGGTATTAGCACCCAAATACACCTTACCTAAGGTAAATTGCATTGTTTTGTCTGATAAAATCTAAATTCTTGTTTTGTGGTTTTTAATTGTTGGTCTGTTTAAGGTTCAAGACAAGTCCTTTTTAGTAAGAAGGTTCTTATTTTAAAATGTTATTGAACCTAACCGTTCTATTATAAAAATAATAATTAAATATCCAGAATACGCATTACGTATAATGTCATACCCTGGATACTAAGCGACAAATAAAATAAATTTTTGTTATTTTTGAAATTTTAGCCAATGTTCTCTTGATTTTAATAATATGGTTATTAAAGTTAAAATACATACTAAAATATTGTTTTTGGTGTATGAAAAATACAATATAATTTTTTTGTTTTGAAACACTTGACTGTATGCACAAAAATTTTGAAGCACTTGACTGTATGCACAAAAATATTTTTTTACAAGTTTTGACGAAAACCGGGTATTTATAATACTAGGTTTGTAGTTTTACGATATAAACTACTGTCCGACATTAGTTAAAATTACATAAAATATGCAAAAAAATTATAAAATAAATATTTTTGATTTTTTAAAATAAAAAAAATAAAAAACTGAACTGGGCCAGACCAGGCCCAGCCCATCTATTGTGGGCTGGGCTGATGTCCCAGCCCAGGCCTAATTGGGTTGGTTACCATGCATCAGCACAGTAACCAGCCCAGGCTGCATTTTTGCATTTTTTCTTGTTTTGCTTCTAGTATCCCTTGTGTTTTCCTTTACCATTTCTGACGATGCCTGCTGGCTGCGCTGAGAGCTTGAAGGGGGTGGTAGACGGACCTGTGTATCACTGGCCTCTTTATCCATGAATACATGGTAAGAGGTTATATCTTTATTATTATCAGCAGTTGACTTAATAATAGGGGATGAGCCAGTGTTCTTCAGAGATGTGTTTATGTAAGAATCAAATACAAAAGTGGCCATTAACTCAGGTATAATATCTGATATGCCATCGTGAGCCAAAACAGGTCTTTCTCTCATCACTTTCTTCCCTTTTCTATATGAAGCTTTAGTGCCAAGTCTTCTGGTTTGTCTGAACTTTTTTTTTTTCTTTCCTTTAGTTCCATTTCCACTACTTATTAGGGTTCTACCAGGTCATGTTTGAAAAAGAAGTTCTGCAATTGGTTTTTTTCTAAATTCAAGGTTCTCATTGTTTTAGAGAAGGGCCTTGAAACCTGGACCAAAGAATTGCTAAGCCTGGTTGCACATGGGTTTATAGCCTTGTTCCTTTGACTTGAGAGCTTGAATGGCCTGTGATGCCTATTTTAACAAGGCCCACTCTTGTATTTGAATCTGCTTAGACATCTGTGCTGCTATCACTGTCAGCTGCCTCTTGCGTGTTTTGCTTTAACTTGTCATAGGGTGGCACTGCAGAGGCCGGCTGATATGTAGTAGCGTGCAGTTGCTAATCTTCCGTCTGGAGGTTATTTGTTTCCTTAGTTTCAGGAAAAAGACAAAAGATTTGAAAATAATGTCCGAATGGTCCAGGTTGTTTGTTGATCCAGTGTGCCCTTGACAGAGGATGAGAGAGAAATCTCTCTCCGAATCCGCCTTTTGTGGCTATGTTAAAGTAATATCCGTTGCACAACGGCCATCGCCATTGTCAGTGGATTTTGCGCCCGCTGCCATAACCTCGTCTGAAGCTGCAAATTCGCTGTATGAGTCTTCATTTAATGTTTGAGTGCCTGGTGCATCCATTGAATGTTTGATTGTGGTAAGCAGGGGACTAAAATCTGGCTTCATTTCCATGATTAAGATTTCAAATTCGTCGCCATCTAGAACCAGCAAAACACGTTCATTTAAAGTCACAAAAGAGGTTGTACTCAGCAATACTTTCACTCTCGTGAGAGAGCCTTGGCTCACACTGGTAATGTCGTATCCAACCATGTTCCCTGCGTCCTCAACAATTGATTCAATAAATTTGTGGTTCCAGCCTATCAGAGGTAGTCCTAGTATAGACACCAACACAAATCTGTCTATAGCTTTAGCTCTCTTTTTCCATGGTTTCAGAAGAGAGTAGGATGTTTTCAATACAGAGGATCCATTTTCCAGCTCTTTCTCCATAGATTCTCTATTTGTAAAGGTGATGACTGCCTGGCTTGCTCCCAGAAAATGAAAGCCAACTACCTGCTTGACATTTTTTAGAACCATATGCTCAAGGTGAGCATAGTACACGTCCGTGGCTATATATCCCACTAAACTTCTCAAAAGCCATTCCTTGTCATCGGGAACAGACTCATACACCAACGTCTTCTTTGGATGCTTTGTAACAGAAGAGCTTCAGCAAAGGTCCGAGTGTCCCTGAAGGTGAGTTTGGGCATGGTTTTAGGTTTTGGTCGTATAGCATGGTCTGGTTTTTTTCCATCTGAAGGTGTTTGATATCTGACTGGCGAATTTTGTATGAATAGAACCAGATAAGGTTCAAGCTGTCACAAAGGTCTGATTCTCTTAACGTGGACAGGAACGAAACAAAACCAAACCGTGTCCCCTCGCGATGTTTTTTTTCCTGGAGACAAATAGATTGGTGACAAGACTAATCTTTGAGAACGTCTTTTTGAGGTCATGGTAATCTAGCCATGCTGGGAAACGTTCATAAAAAAACTTAGAAGGGGCAGATCGCGGGAGGGTTGTGTTAGAAGGAGGTTTGTTATTCAGGACGTTTCTTGTGTGGTGCACATAAGTTCTCGATAGGTTTAGTGTAACAGGGGCAAGGGAAGGTTGTTGTAGGTGTTGAGGAAGGGGGGGTGAGGATCAGTGAACTAGAAGGTTGTGTTCGCAGGTGTTTGAGAGGCTAGATTATTCAGATTAGGTTTGAATAAGGTTGCGAGGGTCTGGTTTGCAGGGGTGAGGGAAGGCTTTTTGGTTGGGAGCATTTTGGCTGCTGTTGAACTACTATATTTTGTTGGAACTCTTGTCTTGATTATCTGATATAGTTCCGAGTGTCCCCTCTATCTCTTTTGATTATCTGATCTAGGATTATAATCGCATTTTTTACAAAGCTCCTTGTAGAATAACATGGGGCAAATGATTTACTTTCCTTTACCTATCATTCCGAAATTGCTAAGCTTCTGATATAGGATTTTATATATATATATATATATATATATATATATATATTCGATTCATTTCGAGAGAAGGAAATCATTCCGAAATAGAGTTATTAGTCACAAGTTTTAGAAATTTTCAAGATTTTTAATCCTTGAGTTGTTTTTAGTTATTCGTTAAAGCTTTAGTTTAATTCCTTTTAGATTATTAGAACTTTTCTCTCAATTTGGTTTTAAAATATCACCCTAGAATTAGTGAAGTTCCAAAAGCTTTTTACTTGTTTCTTCAATCAAAGACTTGGTTTGATACCCTACTTCCTTATACTTAGCTTGTTTAATTTTTACTTGAGAATATGTTTTTGTAGTGAAAAATCCAATACATTAATATATTTTTTATCCAACAAAAGGATGCCGTTGCCAATCTTTGATTCAAGATAGAAGTATAAATTATTACTTTTTCTTATTTCTAGGGTTTACGGTTTTTTTTTTTTTGAAAAAAGTGAAGAGATAAAGGAAAAGTCGTCAAAAGCCAAAAGAGAGAAATAGCCCGACATCAAAATAAGCATGCAATGCGTTATTAATTGGTGGCCAACTTTGGCAATATTGCTGCTTGATTCAATTATTTTAATTTATTCTCTATTAATCTAAGTATATTTGCTAACGAGATTCTATAATTTCTGGCATTAAATTAAACTACGAATCTCCAAATCTTTAGCGAAACCTATTTGAGAAAAGGGAAAAAAAAATGTATGTCTTGAAGACAAGAAATGGAGCTCGCTATTAACTACAGGGAAGATTGAAGAACACCTGTTTCAACCCAACATTTCCTACTATTCGATCAAGCAAACATCAGCACAGTAGCATATATAATATAAGAGAAAGCAAAGGAATCCATTGTAAGAAGGAATAATGATTTTTTTATTAATTGATCAATAATATTCGTACAAATGTGAATAACCTGAGCACGTTTCCTAAATTATTGCAATCATAATCCTAAACCTATCTGGATATGTACAGTTCCCGTTTTCCAGTCCCAATGGAACAAAAAAACAAAATAAACAAAGTTACGTTTTCATGGCTGCACCAGAACGTCATGCTCAGTACCAGTGGAGGTTTCTTGCCAACAACTCTCGTTTCAGCACCTTCAAATGCCCTATCTGATTTCGATCCAAAGCACCATGTCGGGGCACTGCCATGCCGATCTTATCAGCCAATAGAATCAAGGATAATGATTTTGGAGGATGGTTGAAAACGTGCAAATCAAATGATTCTGATATTATTATCTTCGTTAATGCGTCGGCAGCAAAGTTGCCTTCCCTGTGAGTATGCTGAAGGAAGCAATTCCATTCCCGACTAACATAGCTTTGACATTCCAATATCACGGCCTCAATCTGATTCTTGGGTTGACGGGTTAGTTGATTGCGAATTCTGTTGACCACGCTCTCCGAATCAGATTCCACGATAACCCTCTTAAGCCCTTTATCCCAAGCCAACTTTAATGCTTCTCGGACAGCCAGCAACTCAGCTTCAAGAGCCCTTTATCCCAAGCCAACTTCAATGCTTCTCGGACAGCCAGCAACTCAGCTTCAAAGGCAGATCCAGATTTGACTCTGGAAGAGAAACCGAACAGCCATATTCCATGTTCATCTCTGCAGATCCCGGCAATTGACGATTTTGAACAGTTATATTTATAACTTGCGTCAGTGTTGAGTTTGACAAACCCTAGAGGGGGTTTTTTCCAGTGAATGCCAGTGTTTGTGGTGGGAAAGAAGAGAGGAGGTGGAGGACAGTAGAGAGGAGGAGGACGCACCAAGATATGGTTTGGTGGGGGAAAAGGGATGAATGAAAATGGCGGCGGTGGGGGAAGAAAGAAGGGGTTCATCCTCACGAACAAGATTGAAACAAGATGGGAGAAAGCCACAGATTTACAAGGAAAAACTTAAGGCGAAGAAAGAAAATCAGAGTGGAGAAGTTGGAGTTCAAAACTGTAAAGGATTGGAGTAAATATAGACGCAAACATTTCAGTTAATCCTTAACTTGTACGGATATTGGAGTAAATATAGATATAAAGATTTCAGTTATCCTTAATTTGTACGGACTAGGGTTGTACTTAAGAAAGCAAGGCGGTGTCTTTTTTTTCAATGCATGATTATAGAAAATCAAAGAGAAGTTTCCATAATGTATAATTTGCAAGAACTTCAAAATCCTTGATGGCAGATGCAAGCATGGCCATCTCATAAAGAATCTCACACGTTCACCTATCCCATGATTTTGCTTCATATGGAGAAGGATTATGTTTGGCGGTGTTATACATTCAACTCACGTAATTTGCCTTCCACAGTACTCTCCATTTTATTTTCTGAAAACTTCTTTTATCCTACTTGATGCGGGACAAATAATAAAATCCAAGTCAAGATGAAAGTGGACGATTCAAATAAGTTTTCCAACAAAAATAAACATAAATTTTAATCAACTAGTATATCATGTTGTTCACAAGCTCATTTTACAGGCCTAGTTCATGTAAAGTTAGCACTTGGCATGCTAGTGCTAGCCGAGGTTGGGATGATGCATAAGTGAAACTAGGGATTCTGCTGTTTCATATTTTATTTTTTTGTAATAATTATTTTTGGATTTTGTTAATTAAGTTTTATAATTTTATCTTGCTTATATTTTGATAACTAAGTTGGTTTTAGCTCATATTTAAAAAAATCTTGTATATTATTTTTCATTAGATTAAAAAGTTAAAAATTATTGATGTTCAGAAATTTATCAAACCAGATTTCCTGTACAATTTAGAACCATAACTTTAGTTATGGATATACGCTGTGTCAATACTTCATTCATAACAAGATGATCAATGCCTAGAAACTCATCGAATTAGCAAGAAAATGGAAGAAGGTGGCTGATACAAGGTCAAAAAAATAAAAAATAAAATTCAAATTTCCTCAAACAGGCGCAAACAGTTGTAACATAACATCTGCAACTGAGAAGGGCTATTTTACAGTGAAATTGTGAGAGCTACTCAAATTGGCTTCAGAGGAGTTCGTACTGCCGAACAACAGACCTTCACATTTCCTAGCAATGGAGAGCTTATCAAACATATAATTGCTTTGATAAATTAGTATTGATGCCTATAGCTAACAGTCGCTGTTTATTATCTTCAGATCTCCATCATAAAAAACCAGGCCATCATTGACCAATCTGCAGCTCTTGAAGAGAAGCAAGAGTAAGATTTCTAAAACATTCAAACAAGTGGACATGATTAGATTATATCTGAAACTAATACCAAAAATCATGCGTGGTTTGTTTGTAATTTCAAATTTTTTGATTGTTTTAGAAAATCATAATTTCTAAGAAAAATAACAAACAATAATCCTTTCTAAAATAACATAATACTTTTTTTAAATAATGTAATAATATTTGCTGTGAAATCTTGGTAATTTTTTAAGATATTGACATGTACACAATATCTTGTCAATTAGCATGTTTTTTTTTTGGTGAAATTTATTGAATTTAAATTTATTTATTACATTTTATTTTTTTTGTTTGTGTAAATTGTAACTTTACTCATAAAGTAATCCACAATCATTGTGAAAAAAAATAAAATTTATTGACAAATAAAATTATATATATAAACCAAGTTTTTATGAGTATATCTTTATTAAAAAAATATTGGATCAAGGAAGATTTACAAGAATAAATTTTTAGGAAAAAAAGCACTCTCCAATAAAGATACATTGCTAGAACCAACACGTTGTCAAGCCCTGACAATATTGGGTTTGGCACTAGCCAAACTTAGATTTGAATGGGCTTGGCAATGTGCTAAACCCTGAGAACACTGAATCTAGCGTTAAATTCATTGTAAGAAAAAATAATGATTTTTTTATTATTTGATCAACAATATTCATATTAATATGAATTATTTGTGCAAGTTTCCTAAAATATTACAACAATTTAAAATTATAATTCTAGACATTAATTAATCTTTTAAATTTACAACCCATTAAATCCAAAAGCGGATCAAACAAAATATCATAAGGTAAACATATCATACTTATATTTAATTAATAAATTTAATTTAACCATAAAACAAAATTTCTTTTTAAAAAAGTTAAATCTAACAAAGAATGACAATTAAAAAGATCCAGAATAACTTCAGTTATTTTTAAAATTAGTAAAAAAAATCCTAAAAAACAAATAAAAAAATTAATGAAACTCAATATCTAATTCAATCAAATGCTAAAGAACAAAACTGAAAAATCATTAGCTTAATAAAAAAATAAAATGAACTTAAATGAATCTTCTAATCCTAAATTAACCTTTTAAATTTGCAATATGTTAAATCCAAGACTTGAGCTCAATCAAGAAGTATTTTTGACTTATAGAAAAAGAAACGCGGTAGTATCTATCCATAATTATATCAATATCTCAACCATGTTAGTTTGTAGGGTTTAGGGTAACTTTCAGTTGCCAACTAATTAAAGTTTCTTTATTACCTTTATAAAGACCACATTCTTGCAGCTCTTACTGTCTATAATCAAACTATAGTTTTTCTCTTTAATGATGCATGTAGAGCGGAAGACATTGTTATGCCTCAAATCGTTATCTGAATCACCCTTGAGAGTTAACAAATTTTTTTCTAATCACAACGGTTGTATTGTCATCTCTATATAGAACAACACCCTTATCATTGTTTGAATCATTTTATTGTAAGTGAAATTTATGAGCTCTTACTCTACTATCAAATTCTTTCTCAAATGATTCTCTAGTTTGCTACATTCGCTAATATGAGAATATAGTGTCCCACCTCACCACATTTGAAACAACGAAGTCTAAAGCCAGAACCTTACCGTATTGCCTATTGAATTTATTGATTTGTCATAGTCTGGTTGGTGGTCTGTCTTGGATTATTATTGTGTTCTTTGTTATTCTGTTCTCCCCTAAAATTTCTACTAACAGTCCTATCAACTTGCTTCTTCTCCACCGTTAGAGCTCTCTGGTACGCTTATGAAACTGTTTATAAGGCTTAAAGATGCAGTACATCCTAAATAGATTGACGTAGACCACTAAGATATCCTACCAATAGTTGCTCCTTTATTTCTGCCAAATTATTCTTAGAAGCTAGTTGGTAAAACTCATCAATGTATAGTTATTGATAGATTTACCTCCTTGTTTCAGTATGTGGAGTCTCTGCTATAGAGTTTGGGAGTAGCTAAAAGGAATAAATTTTCTCTTATATTCTTTGTTTTCTTATCCTAATCTTTTCCTTGTTTCTCTCAGTTCTTCTTTAACTCCTTCTACCAAGAAGATGCCCTGTCCTTTAATTTTATTGAAATCAATTTAAATCACATATGTTACTAAAAATCCTCTCAATCTCGCTCAACCAATCTATGAATTATTTTGCATATAAAGTCAATGAAAACTCGGGAGTTTTGGCATAAAAGCCAAAATGCCAAGATTTGTTATCTTCTTGCTTAAAGGGTTGTCTCCTCTAAATTCAACTCTGACTTTTAGTACTGGCCAGAGACCTTTGGTCACTCTCCTATTCCTACTCATACCGCTTATGATCTCATAGGTCCCTCTCCTCTAGCCTATGAGTTAATATACTTTAGCATGTCTTGGATGACGAGCTCTTAGACATTCCTTTCTCAAAGGGGGCTCTTCATCCCCTTCTTGGCCACACCTTACTCCATGACCTTTTCCCGTGTTTTGTTAGCGCAAATAATAGAAAACAAATTCTCTTTCACAGGATTACAGCTTATAGCATGTAATAAATCTGGGATCGTTTGGGTTTGATACCAACTAATATAGGTGAAAGTTAAATACAATAATTAAACAAAGAACACAAAATATTTTATTAGATGAAATGAGCTCCAATGTGAGCCTCAAATTCATAAGTTTATTTTTTCTAAAATAACGATAATCAAATTTGTCTCCTTAGGAGGTTTATAAAGCCATAAATAGGCCAAAAACCCTACCTCAACTAGAAAACAAAAACAAATATTAGAAATTATAAAAGAAAGAAACATAAAATCTAAAATAAGAAGGAAATCTAAAAATAAGAAGGAAAATCACATAAACTATCAAACCGAGGGGTTTCTGCAAAATTTTTGATGTCTAAAGATCTGATGGTCTGCATAGCAATGCAACAACTACTGTGGGAAAACTATTTTTAAAAACTCCTATAAAAATATGAGCGTGATCTAACAATGGAATGAAAGATTATGGTCCTTTTGAGTCGCTATTTTGGTTTGGTGCGACTAGACCTCCTTTTGGGTTTTGATCTATCTTACTAGTCCATAAATATAACTTCTAATCATCCACATAATTTGTTTAAAGTAAATTCTTATTTGATTATAGCAGACTCACACTTGACTGCTCAGAACCACTTATTTTCACAAGCTTGACTACTTTTAGAGAACGATATAAATCATGTCCTGAAACCTCACCTAATAGCTTAAGCTTTTGAGTTGAGATGGTTCTTTGACACAGTATCAGAGCCTTAATGATTAAGCGGTCACGAGTTTGAATCTAACCATCTTCATTTATTTGATAAAAATTTAAGCACAAGGTAATGTAGGTCTGTACAAGTTTCAAGCCCAAAGGATTTTCACTTGAGGGGGTGTGTTAAAAA